GCAAAGCTTTTTGTATTAGTTTTTTTTTTTTTTTGTAGATGTTGAGGTCTGCTATGACCCCTTTAAATATCTCTACTTACGGAATATCCTGTTATTATAGTGGCATTTGGCTACAATGATTTATACTAGTTGCCGCGTTCAATTTCAAAAGATCCAACCTTGTTTGTTTTTTAAACAGTGTTACGTGACAGTAATAGATTGTGAGAAATTAATCAATTAATTAAAAAAAAAAAAAAGTGGGGAGCAAAAGGGATCCTGAGTAACGCATGAGAAAAGTGGCTATGAGTTGAGGAACAAAGTAATGGCGGAAATGAATGAGCTATATAATTAGGTAATCAAGTTATTATACTAAACCTTTTGTTATGATTATAAGCTGCTAATGATAATTTTTCCTATAATTTTTTACAGAGTACTTTGTAAATAATTCATGTTTCAAATATTCAAATAGGAATTCTTTCCCACTTCTCGTGATTATTTAATTAAGGAAGAAATTAAAATGAATTTTATATTTTAAATATGTATAGATTACAAGATATAGTGTGATAATTAATAGGAAAAAATATTATTTAGCAAATTTGAGCGTGATTTCGGGGAGACACCTCCTGGGGCAAAACTTGGCGGTTGAGCGTGATTTCGGCCCTATCACCTCTTTGCACAACCGTTGACCAAGAAACAGTACTTCCATACAAAGTACTGAAACCCAAGACCTTCCATGGGTTGTAGTGGTACAGTTTTTTTTCTTTTATTTATCAAATTATTATCTATTGATATTACCAATTTGATAATATAAAAGAGACCTTTACTTTAAAAAAAAAATTATAATTAAAAATTTCACATTATAGCCAAATGTCGCAACTTGCCGCTTGTGGTATCTTGTTGTAGCACTAAAATAATGTAGCATGATGTATATACGAGTTAACGCCTTTCAGATTTACAGCATGTTGTCACTTCCAATCAACGAAACGGCAAAGACTAAATAACCACCATCTGAATACATTGACAAATACACTCAGTGTCAAAATGTTATACACACTCCAAAAATTGTTATCCCTACCCTCCCATCTTTTCAAATTACCCTTAGAACAGTATTAAACATAATCTACCACTCACCTGAAGTAAATCAGCAGCCTGTTTGTATTTTAGTTCTCAAGCCAAAAATTTATACTTTTTTTTTCATATTAAAGTTAAGGCCCGTCAAAATGTTCGACACGCTCCCTGTTAAAGATAAATAAAACTCATATTAATACTTCGTGGCCTTTCCACCACCATTTATTAATTCAAAAATCCTTTTTGGTAATGAATCGTACAATTGTTTTATTGTTTCTTGATGTATTTGTTCCTATGAAGCCAGAATTACAGATTGCAAATCCTCGATTGTTCCGAACTGTCTTGACTCAGAGTACACCATTCTTGAAAGAGTTCCCCAAACATTTTCGATAATGTTCAGTTCTGGGGAGACAGCAGGTACAGTTTAATTTGGCAATTTTGTTGCGGGTAAACCAGTCATTAATAATTTTCGCTGAATGTATTGGGGCGTTATCTTGCTGGAAAACTAGTGTGCCTTCAGACATGTCATTAAAAGTCAACTTTTGTTCCTCTAACAAATTTTTATATTCAGCTGAGTTTACTCTTGATGAAACAAATATCAAAATTTCTTTCTTTTTGTAACCAATTGATGCCCAAACCATAACTTTCCCTCCTCCCATTAGACGACTTGATACATTTTTTTCTTCTTTTCTTAAGTCATGATACGAAAATCCATCTGGTCCATCCAGATTGAATTTTTTTTCATTACTAAAAGTGACTTTCTTCCACTCCTCAGTCCATGACATCACATTACAAGCAAAGGGCATCTGGCTAATTTGTGACTGGTACTCAAAACTGGCTTTCTTTTCAATTTTTTTCTCACTATTGTTTTTGACTTTTTAAAATAATCTTTGGACATTCCTTAGTTTTGTATGAACTTCCTCAGCAATTGCTCTTGCTGTTTTACAAGAGTTGGATGTGATTTGAAGAATATTCCGTTTCTATCGTAATGTCAAAGCAGAGGGCATCCCAGTAGAACGGTGGGTTCCCTATGTCTCCCCGTGGCAAATAAACTTCGCGACCAATGAAAAACTCCGCTTGATTCGATGGGCTATTTCCCTACAGCTCATCCCGTATCTGTGGAGTGAAGAAATCAAACAGTGCTCTTCTTCGGAGAAACACTTATTTTTTCCCATAACTCACGTTCTTTTTAGGTCTATTTTGAAACAAATTCAACACTGCACTGAAGTAGAAATGGTATTTTAATGATTTCAACTCTAGAGGATTAAGAAAATAGTAAACAACAAGTGTGTCTATCATTTTGACGCATATATAATGTCAATATTTACTGATATTGGATTTAAATAATCCTCAAGGACTGAGAAGATTGTTCCCGTTTTAATATCATAATTTATAATCTAAACTGTGCTTAAAAAAATAATATCAATTAAAAATAAAGAAAACATGAACAGTTTTTCTAATTTCAATGGGCGTGTCTAACATTTTGACACTGAGTGTAGAAGCTCTGGAAGGGGGATTATGCATTAAATAAAATAAATAAATAATAAATTAGAGATGTGGGAGACTGTTGAATTTTAAGGATGAATGACAATTTTCAGATAAGTCAGCAAAATTTATTTAATCAGTCAGTCGACGTTTCGACCCAAGCATGTGCGTCATCATCAGGGCTAAAAAAATACAAAATATAAAATAAAATCAGAGAAATAATGAACACAAAAGTGTAGGAGTAACAACAGTATTTATTCTTATTACAATCACCTTTTTACTGTTAATCTGAACTGTTATTAAGTCACTGAGGGATTATTATTATACTAAAGCTAATTAATCTCCACGGTCTTGTGCTAGTTCCCTCCATCTTCGAACGCCCAGCCGCCTTGGATCGTCCTCCAAATCCTCCAGCCATCTGATCCGAGGGCGCCCTCAACTTCTTTTGCTGTCCGGCTTCCCATGAAGCATCCTCTTTGCCATTCTTTGATCGGGCATTCTTTTTATCAATGCCACAATATCAGCTTCCCATAAAGTTCCCGCAGCTCCTCATTCTTTCTTCTTCTCCAAATTCCATTCTCATACTCTTCTTCATTCTTCTTCTCCATATTCTTCTCATTACTTTTCTCTATCAGGAGTTAAGCGTGCGTTCTATGTTTTTGATTAAGGTCCAAGTCTCACACCCATACATAACCACTGGCCTTAGTATGGTTTTGTATATGAAGAGTTCGATTCTTTTAGAGAGTAATCTGAATTTCAAGTCTCTTTGCAGTGAGAAATAGCATCTATTTCCTGCTGCTTTCCTGGCCTTTATTCCACTCTCTAATTTATTATTGCATGTGACTTCCAAGGTACTTGAACTGTTCAACAGACTTAAAGTTGTGATGCCTTAAAGCTGTTCCCGTATTCACTTCCTTTTCTATTTTTGAATTTTTCATGTACACCGCCTCATTTCCATTAACTCTAAGGCCTAGTTTGGGCCTTTAGTTAGATAATGCTGCTTGGGTTCTAGAGATAATGGCAACAACATCGGCATATGCCAGATATTGAGATAGACGATTGTAGATTGTTCCTTTTGCATTTGTTCGAATATAACGAATAGCCACTTACAGAGCTAGATTAAAAAGAGGGAGAGATAGAAGACCACCATGTCTCAATCCATTATCCACCTCAAATTTTTCGGACAGCAAATTTGCAAGTTTCACTCGACATGTAGTCTTCATTAGGGTCATTTTTATAAGTCTGGCCAGATCCTTGGGTATGCCTACATCTAGCATAGATTTTAAAAGCCCCTTTCTATCTACACTGTCGTACGCCTGTTTGAAGTTCACAAAGAGAAGGTGCACGTCTGTGTTAAATTCATAACATTTTTCCATCATCTGTCTCAGAGAGAATATCTTGGCAACTGATGATCTTTCAGGCCTAAAGCCTCCCTGATAATCTCCTATGGTTTTATCAGCGAAATCTGTCAGTCTTTTAAGTACATATTAGCTTCTCTCCTCGCGGATTGGACATAGTGCTGCTCTTGTCCAATCTTCACGTTTTCTTTCATCCATATCTCCCAAATTATTTCATAAATTTCCTCCCACAGATCATGGCCACCATGTTTCAACATCTCTGGAGTAATCTCGTAGAGACTTGGCGACTTATGATTCTTCATTGACATAATGATATCAATTATTTATTCCTTCTCAGTAATAATAATAAATGACGTTATTATTCCTACACTTTTGTGTTCATTATTTCTTTGATGTTATTTTATACTTTGTAATTTTTAGTCCTGATGATGACCAACATGTGTGGTTCGAAACGTTGGCTAACTGATTAAAGAAATTTTGTCTGAATTTCCTGACAATTTTGTTTCATTAAATAATAATAACAACCAAATAAGCAATATCATGTATTGCTTATTTTGCTGCTTGTTATAGTTTATTATGCTTATATCCACAACGGTGGATTTATGGTGGAGGAGGGAATTTTAGAGTTTTCAGTAGGAGCTTCCCAATATACAAATAAATTATTTATAAAAAAAAAAAAAAAATCGGTCCACATTTGTATCTATGAGTAAGCTGTGACAAATAATTAAACCATGACATGTAATGATAATTTTTTTAGCATATTACTAATAATTAAAAAAAAAAGTTTAGTCCAATAATTGGAATCACCTTTTATTCTTTTTAATTATAAAGAATTTACTGCAGCTACTAAATAATGTAAGCACGTATCAAAAAAAAAACTGGTTAGCATGTTTGTATAATTATAGTGTTATTATTACTATAGTATTATTATTCCTTTAATTACAGTGCAATTATTATTAATTTATTATTATACTGTAATTATAGTATAATTATAGTATTATTATTATTATTATATAATTACTGTTACAAATTCCCATTTTTTTAATTTTTTTTTTTTTGATACTTTCATGTTTTTTAAACATCCTGAATTTTTTGTTTATTTTGTTACAGCCCGTTAACAGAATGAATAAAAGCTTTATTCGGTTCTTCTCTAAGGTGGTGAATAGTGAAGTGAAGTCATTCAAGGTAAGAGAACGTTATGAAATTAAGTTTTTAAATACCATTCATGGAAATTCAGTTAATTTTAATTACCAATTAATAAAGTCTGTCTAATGCCTTACAATGAAGTATAATTAATCAATCGACTACTCAACTTTCAGTTTTCAGGATCCAAATCAGTATCCTTTTACATCATTTAAAAACCTTTATCAGTTAACTTTTTGTGAGAATACTTTACTTGTGTGTTCTATTTTATTATTTTAAAAATCGTAATACATTAATTTTTAAGTCATTCGTTATTTATAGACCGTTTTAGTTTCTTTACCACTTTGGTTTATTATTTTCAATAATGAACCATTGTGATCGAACAAAAAATTCAAAAACTTAACCCCCTCTCAAAATATGCGGGTTTACGTTTCAGAATACGTAGAATTCGAAAACAAATACATTTTTTTAGTCCGACCGCCGTCCACGCATTTTCTCCGAAACTACTGGACCGATTTTTTTCAAATTTGGATTTAAAATTAGAGGTCACCCCAGGATGATACTCCTTCATCGCCTTTTCCTTTCAAGATGGCGACCGAAAAAGCTGCGTTGCTATAGACTGTAGCGCCTTCAATGACGAATGTACCAATTTCAATGAAACTTCGCTAGAGTCTTTTTCTCGATCCCCTTTAAGCTTGTCTGTATAACATACTTCAACGAAAAGAAACTGGAGAAAAAAGTAACGAGGGTTGGTAAAATTAAATTCCGAATAACTCAAAAAGTATATACCTTTTTGTCGATATTGTTATTTAAAAGTTTACGGAATTTCCTAAAAAAAAAAAATATCGTTAAAATGTTTTTTATATGTTATAATGCAAAGGTTATATCCTTTGTTTTGTTTTTGAACGTATTACTGAAGTAATTTTATTTTTTTTTAGTATATTACTAATGATAAAAAAAAAATATTTAGTCCAATAATTGGAATAATATTTTATTATCTTTTCTTTGTTACTAGGAAGGTAATGTTACTTTAGATGTATAATTGTTTCGAAATAATAAACCGTTGTTTCATAATTTGCAGATTTTTTTTTTTAAACGTTAGATTTCCATCACTTTATCAATAAAAACCTGGGATGCCCAGAGGGAGGTTTCATGGCTCAAGTTTTTGAATTTTTTAGGGAGGGGGTGTCATATTTCGACGCGATTATGAATTTTCGGAATGAAAAGCTTTAAACTAGGAAACAAGAGGAATGCAAAGAACGGACCACTGAAAGTGTCATTGTATATGAAATTTCGTTTTTAAAATTCTTCTTAGCTTGCACTGTTATTAACAAATTGAAAGCAATAAAATATCTTGGGAGGGGGAAGGAGGGATGGGTACACCTAATAAAAACTGTGTTTCATCTTCATGACTATAAATTATAAAACCGTTCCATAATACATATTGAGGTGGGCACACACGATCACTCTACTATAACTGCTCCAAATCAAATGGTAACGCTGAACGACATTGGGTGTGAAATCCTGTGTGGATTTTTTGGGGGTGAAGTCGAATTGGCTGGAATTTTATCTATCCTAAACCCCATCACACTACGACAAAATCAATCCAAATCTCCTTGAGTGTCAAACTGATGGAGCGATGGACAGTGTAGTTTTTCACAGTTTTTATGCTCACGTGGTTCAGCAAACCCGATATTGGTTGTATAAAATATGTTAAATATGAATAATTTAACTTTTTTTTTTCTCTCAGTTAAATATATGAATTTACATATGAAATAAAAAGTATGGGAAAGTATTGCGATCGTGAAAAAAAAAGAAACGGATTTCTCAACGGATACTTACGTTTTAAATTCCCATAAAGAACCAAGTCTCGCAAAATGTTCTGTAAGCATTTTATTCAATGTACAATTGAATTGTCTTCTAATGATCGATAATAACAGTTAATTTTACTGGGTATTGGATAAAATTCTAAAGTACTTACCTCAAGAACAGAAGACTTACGAAACTGAAATTAAGTATTTAATATTTTTTTTACAGTAATAGTTTTTAATATTTAATGTTACAGTAACTTTTTCGATGAAATCGACTTACCCTTAGTAACAATTTATTTCATTAATTTTATAAATTTTTATTATTTCATTTTATTCAATGTACAATTGAATTGTCTTCTAATGATCGATAATAACAATTAATTTTACTGGATATTGGATAAAATTCTAAATATTTAAAAAATTATTAAAAAAAGAAAGAAAAATAACCAAAATGTTTATCTCACCATTGCCTAGTTTTTAAAAATTATTTTTACCATCTAAATACGTAAATAATTTTGTAAATTAAAATGCATCGATTTATCTAAACGTCAATATTGTCTATTAAAAGTAATCGACCTTACACTCGAAAGACATTTTTTTTAATACTTTATCAATAATTTTTTTTTTTAATTTGTTGATTTAGCCTCTACCCCTAAGGGTAATTGGCTTAATGTTTCCATTTTATATTCGTTGATAAAAGTGAATAGTCTTCAAATATTTGAACAGTTTTTCTATTTAATTCTCCCCACCTTGCAGGATTTCTTTCATTTCCGTTCGCATTTGAATTTTTTTCCTTATATTAGGGTACCTTCTACATTCTACTAATATATGTTTTACTGTTCTGGGCACTAGGCAATGTGTGCTAGTTGGAGCTTCTAATCCTCGCAGGAGGTATCCATGGTAAAACTCACAGTGCCCAACTCTTAGCCGACATAATATCACTTCTTCTCGTCTAGATTTTCTGTTTGATGTGATCCGTTTGATACATTTTGTTTTTATTTCCTGAAGTTTTGCCGAACTCATTTCCCATTCAACGTTCAATTTATTTTGAAAGGAGCAGGCAAGTTGGTGTGTCCAATCTTCTCGAGGAATAGCATCAATTATTGCATCAATTTATCAATAAATAATCTCTATAACATGTAATAATAAGAGGGAATTATTTAAAATATGTTATAAAATAATACTTGCAATCATTAAAAAACCTTTTATAAAATAAAACATTAGTGGGTTGGATAAAATGAAAAAAAAAATGGAGAAAATTGATACGCTTGAAATTCGACTAAGACTAATAGTAATTAGATTACTGAAACAATCATTAAAAGTGACAATACAAAACTATAGAGTGAAGTTATAATTTCCAGGTCAAAAATGATATAATGCAATGATTTTTTTCTGTGGAATTATTATATCCATATTTGGCCACATCATTTTTATTTAGAGGCGTTCATTTAAAAAACAAATAAAAAATGGTATATTTTTATTAAATGTAAATAGCTGTACCATCTCATATTCAATAAAATTTAAATTTTGTTCATTATTTTGTAAATGTTCTAGTAGAATAATTGGCACAAGTAGCACGAGATTCAGTCTCGTAATAATATAAAGTGTACTAGAACTTTCAACAGAAGTATTGATATTTAATATATAAAAAATATATAAATACAGAATTATATTCCAAATATTAAAATGATAAATTTTCTTTTTTTATAATAGATGATTTGACACAATAACGATATTTAGTTTCTGGTATAAAATAACGATATTTGGACATTTTTATAAATATTAAATATTTTTGTGATGGTTTATTAAATTTAATATAAATTATTTATTATTCATTTTTGAGGTTAGTATGAATAATTTTTTTTGTATTACATTATATACAAGTCAGTTATGCAATATTTTACGTTTAAACCGTAACTAATACGTATGCGGTCGAAATATCGAAAATCCCCTTTATGTAATGTTGTTAATAATATGTTTTATGTGATATCAGAAAATATAAATATGGAGGAAGGGTTAATTGTTGACGGGGCATGTAGGTCATAACAGTCGAACCGTACTGGTGTGTGTACATGATATCACGTAAGGGGACAAAAAAAAAAAAAAAAAAAAAAATACAGATGGAATGAAAAATAAACACTGTTACTAAAAAAACAAAAATCTGGGAATTATGAAAGCTTATGATAACAGAGGCTACTAATACGATGAAATAATAACTGATTGAGGTTTAGAGGAGTTTAGTACATGTAGCGCATCCTAGCGGTGCCTCTATTAAGTTTCTTTTATGTGATTGCTAGTGACCTGATTTTCGTTAAGTAAAAACGTGCAATAAAAATATCAAGACCTGCAATAAGAAGCTCAATTCGCATGAAATGATGAAACAACGCACTAAAAAAACTTGCTTCACTTTATCTGCATTTAATTGTATTAATATAATTTATGTAAATTATAAAATTATTTATTTTATTTTTTTATTTATTTAGAAATATAATAATCTGTCACGTGGACAATAATTATAGTGAGATATTAACACATTCACACCAAATATACAGAAAACATAAAATTAACAAAAGTAAAATAATAACTAAATAATAATCAAACAATTATCTAAAATAAAAAATAAAATAACCTAAAGGTAAGTAAATTAAAAACATAAAAACTGAGTCATACCTATATATAATCAGGTAGGGAACCCCAAGCCAGGCTTGTCCCTCCAACTATAGAGGGAAAAGCAGGACTCCAAGAGATCCCTGCGCTACTCTCTCAACCGCGTCACTGGTGAATATAATATAATTGTAGCGGTATCAATAATCGTCTATTATTGTTATAGTATTATAGGAATTATGAATAAAATAATTTGAAAGTTGTATCATTGAAAGTTGGGGTGAGAGAAAAATAAAAAAAGCGCAATCTAGCGCAGGGATGATAATCTTTCCCTCCCAAAGTCAATGAGATTAAAATCAGTGGAAGCTAGAATAAAATTTTAAAAATCATGGGTCCTGTAAGCGACCCTTACACGGTCACTCGAAATTGCATACTGAGGCACTAATGACGTTCTGCATGATCATATAATGTAGTGAATGAAGTACTGATGTACGTGTCAGGCGGATTTCCGAAAAACCGGAAATCAAAGGTTCATTCAAGAGAAGTGGAGGGGAGACTAACCATACTACTAGATAGGTTAGTTTACCTAGGCTTCACAACCATTATAAATTCCTGATTTTCATTAAA